TCATTTGATGAAACAACACTATTGTTTTAAATAATATTTTTTAAAAGTTTCTCTCAAAATTTAGTAATTCGATTTGTTTAATTTGGATTTTCTTAGATTTTTTAATTTTTTTTGTTGGATTAATCATTATAACATTTTGTTAAAAATGTAAAAGTAATTATCACTGGTTCACTACATTACATCAATATTCATCGCATATCGAATGTTGCATTGTTTCAATATCTATCAACAAATTATCCAATAAACAACAAGTAAAAATTATATAACTATTATTTGATGTTTGCTAGGTATGTTATAATATACTGTGAACACTATAAGGATACATTATATAAGCATGAATTGTAAGAACATCATTGAAGTCATCAGAGTCACCGTGTGCGCGCTCGACCGTCAGGTTAAGCAACAGTTTAATGCGGTCAGGACATGGATGGGATGACCAGTGATATACCGCTTGGGATCAAAATTATCGCAGGAGGATTCATGAAAGTTTAGAATATTGTTGACAACCTTCGATATCTAGTAGTTTATGAGACATGAGAAAATTAGGAATATAAGTATATTTTTGTAAACATTATGATTTTCTCATTTTTCACCTTCACACAATAATTCTCAGCATTTGATTACTATCAATATTTAACAGTGATTTTATTATCAGTATTCACCAGAAATTAAGTACTGGCCAAAAAATTACTGAATTACTGGTAATATTTAATCACTAATAATTTTTCAGTATTTCTTAGTATGATATTTCTATAAGGGCTAGAGAATTAATTTTAAGAATATATATTGTTGCACTCGCGAGTCGAGAACGTCGCACTCGCGGACGCGGAGGAAATAAACAACTCGTTATAGAAAAGAAAAGAATTTTAATGTGAAAACTAGATTCTCGAGAGTCACATGTCTGGCTCGCACGCTAGCCGTTTCACAACTCTTTCTTTCAGCTGTTGTTTGTCAACCGCTCCATGACAACTGTACTCCGGCTCAGGACTCGCATGCATCCTGAACGCCGTAAATGTTGCGGGGTGTATATCAGTTGGACACGGGGCAATTGGATAGTCCAATCACAAGTCGCTGTTCCAAGGGACCCTACAAATGTCTCTAATCACACGGTGCTGTGATTGGTTGTGTCCAAATGCACCGTGTTCAAGTGCACCGCTCCCAATGTTGCGCATGCAACACTGCTTCCCCTCTCCAAAGAGGTTGTCGTCCCGACAATTCTACTGGTTCGTTTGGCTCTTCCTTTGTTAGCTTCTTCTTATCTAAAATGATTTCCAGGGTTTCCCTGACGACTTCTTGCTCTACCCTGAACTGCTGTTACAGGTTACCGAGCGTCGCTCAGATCCCAATCATCCTTTTGATAAGCACCGAACTCTTCAGCCTCACAAACGCGTCTTCGGACTAGGGTGGGGAATCTTTTGTGGACCCAACGCTCTCATCAGAGAGCAACCCAGGTCCCCACCTTGGCATTCGCCCTGATCAAATATCAGCCCCATGGAAAATACCACGAATCAAAAACCACGGGAAAGGTGGTCTTCTTCTTCAAAAAAAAAAAAAAAAACAACTTCTCATTTCTCATTTTCGTATTTTCTTCAATAAACTTTTCTTTAACAAAACAAACGAACAAGAAAGAATGTAACTTTCATAAAGAAAACATTATCCATTATAAACCCCACAGTCCGGATGTCTTCTTTCGGATTCTAATTCTTTATTCTTTCCTTAAAAGTAGCTAATCTATCTGCATGCACAATTTTTTTCTTATGTTTTGACGTCTTTTGAATAGAATAAACCACATCACTTAATTTCCTAACAACTTTATAAGGACCTTCCCAATTACTCTGAAGTTTAGGAGCCTTGCCCTTAACACGACGTGGATTAAACAACCACACTTTTCCTCCTATAGCAAAATTAATATCCCTAGCCTTTTTATCATAAGCAGATTTAACCTTCTCAGACTTAATTGAAAGAAAATTCCGAGCCGTCCTATGAACCAAATCTAATCCTTTCCTTAATTTAGAAACAAAAGACTCCTCCGAAGAAAACTCATTTTCTTCATCAGGAACCTTTCCTCGAAGAAGATCTAAAGGAATACGAAGATTTCGAGCAAAATAAAGTTCTGCTGGTGTAAACTTCATGGTTTCATGTTTTGAAGATCGATAAGCCAAAAGGAATAAAGGGATCCATCGAT